GGGAGGTTTGGACAAATATTCCTTGATTTTGTCAAAAGCTTGTTGACAATTCTCTGTCCATCTGACAGCAGCATCCTTTTTCAAAAGTCTAAAAATGAGCTCACAAGTGGTTGTGAGTTGAGCAATAAACCTGTTGATGTAGTTCAACCTCCCAAGTAGACTCATGACTTCAGTCTTATTTTTCGGGGGTGGCAAATTTTGAATGACTTTTATTTTGGAAGGATCCAATTCGATTCCCTTTCTACTGACAATAAAACCCAGAAGTTTTCCAGATGGAACACCAAATGCACATTTTGCTGGATTAAGCTTGAGATCATATCTTCGCACTCTTACAAACAATTTTCTCAGATCTTGCACATGGTCAGCTTGTGTTTAAGACTTGATGATTACGTCATCAACGTATACTTCGATTTCTTTATGCATCATATCATGAAACATGGTGGTCATTGCTCTCATGTAAGTTGCCCCAGCATTCTTGAGACCAAATGGCATGACCCGATAGCAATAAGTTCCCCATGGAGGTGTGAAAACAGTTTTCTTAGCGTCCACTTCATCCATCAAGATTTGATGATACGCCGCGTAGCAATCCACAAAAGATTGAATTTCGTGTTTGGCACAATTATCAACTAGAATATGGATATTGGGCAAGGGAAAGTTGTCTTTTGGACTAGCTTTGTTCAAATCCCGAGAGTCAACACAAACTCTTGTCTTTCCATCTTTTTTCGGCACAGGGACAACATTTGCCAACCAAGTAGTGTAACGAATGGTTTGGATCACATTTGCATTTAGTTGTTTCATGATTTCTTCCTTGATTTTTTCACTCATGTCCGGTTTGAATTTTCTTCTTTTTTGTTGGACGGATGGAAAATCAGGATGAGTGGGAAACTTATGGACCACTAAATCAACACTCAAACCTGGCATGTCATCATAGGACCAAGCAAACACATCTTTGTATTCAAACAAAATTTGTATTAAGGCATCCCTAGTTTCCTTCTTGACATGAAGACTTATTTTTATTTCTTTGACTTCCTCATTACTTCCCAAATTGATGGCCTCGATTTCACTAAGATTAAGCTTAGGTTTGTGCTTAAACCGTTCCAATTCCCTATTAATTTCCCTAAAAGTCTCTCCTTCATCATATTCAACCTCTCAACTTGGTGATTCAAAAATAAACAACTCTTTGAGATCTGGGAGTGAATTCCGCATGCATGTCATGTTATCAAAGACGACATTTACATAACTGAAAAATGGAGAATAAGAATTAGGGGAGGGGAATTTTACTATGAAACTGGAATTTCATTTCATTGAAATAAAAAAAAAGGATAGAAGGGTTGACATTAATTTAGAATACTTTCAAATTTTCGGATCACAACCCTGACAAAAACAAAATACAAAAGAGTAGCAAAACAAACTACCAAGACTCCTTCCTTATGGGGAAATGAGTGGCTTCCCAATTGTTTAGCTCAACACTTGAGCCCACGAGCTGCATATCGGCATGACTTGTACCTTCACCAACTTGGACTATGTTTACTTTACAAAACAACTGACTGAGATCTTGAATAACTTTTTCAATGTCTTCATGAATAAAAGAAGCTTCCATTTCTGGACCCTGAGGCTTAATAAAGGAATGAGAAATATGGGGAATCGGGTGTGGCAACGCCCAATCAGTCCTTTTGTGATTCTTAGCCTTATCTCCATTTCTCTTGCTTTGTTTGTATCTGAGGCCAGATGTGCCTTGGTTTCCTAAAAGAGTAATGGGATCCACGATTCTTTGCGAACATAGTCCCAAACCTTTACCAGGTTGATAACCATATTTGAGCATGGTCGTTGCTACCATTGAAGAGGAAGAAGAGAGACACAGTTGGATGATGAGGTCTCCTTCTTTAAAGCGATCGACTGATACGGCCTCAAAAGACTGGTAAACAACGGAATCACATCTCTCTTTTGCCTCAATGTATGGAATTGAGGGATCTCTGCAAATAGGTAGATCATCTTCCCCATGCACAATGATTTCCTGATGGTTGTGTTCAAACTTAACAAATTGATGCAGAGTTGATGGGACTGCCCGAGCCATGTGGATCCATGGCCTTCTCAATAGAAAATTATAAGATGTGTCCAACTGTCCATGTCCATTACTTGGAACACAATCATAAAGTCTACCAGTCCAATTGTCATGTTTAACTTGATTTCACCAATGGTATCCCGCCTTGAGCCATCATAAGCTCGAACAAATACATTGCTGGGGCAAATTCTGTCAGGGTTAATTTTCAAGCTTTGCAGCGTCGAAAGAGTACATATGTCTACCCCTGATCCCACATCTATCATGACCCTCTTTACATAGTGCCCTTCACATTTCACTGTAAAAAGCAAAGCTCTGTTGTGTCCAGCTCCCTTCGTGGGCAACTCATTATCAGTGAAAGTGATGGTGTTCAACTCAAAGATGCGCTTGGCCATTTTCTCTAACTGATTTACCGTGGTCTCCTTCGATACATGTGATTCATTCAAAATCTTATTCAACACACGACGATGTTCTTCTGAGAGCAAGAGTAGAGACAACAATGAAATCTATGCCGGGGTTTTTTTTAATTGTTCCACAACAGAGTAATATGGAACCTTAATCTTTTTTAGAAACTCTTCTGCTTCTTCCTCAGTAACTGCTTTCTTCAATGGTACTTGGATGTTTTGAGTCATCTTCCATTTTCTTAATTCTTCTGGAGAATAACATCTTCCAGAGGGTGTCAACCCTCCTGCTTCATTAACCTCTTCAACAATCTCCTTTCCTCAGTAAACCACAGCGATTTTGTTAGAGTTCCAAGGGATAGCCTTTGAATCAGTTACCGGAAGCTGTTGGACGGGCTTAACAAAGATAGGTCCTTTCAACTTTGCCAAGCAATTTTGGTCAGGTTGTGTTAATGAAAAACCCTTTGATACATACAACTTTGACATACCTGCTCGAACTTCAATCCCTTTCGAAACCCCCGGGACACACAAAACTTTGGTATCAAGGTTGCACCTTCCACAATAAAAACTGCAACTGGTTCTGAACTCTTTATCGAGTTTTCTTCCTCTCCGATCTACCTAAACAACTTTACCATTTTTCCAAGGAGTTTGTACTCTTGATCATCGCATCATACCCACTAAATTGTTTTGAGCTGGAAGTGGGTTATTAGTCACATTGGGAGCGTTTTGATCATCCGTCACAATGACCACTCCATGATCGATTAGCTTCTCTATCGCCCCCTTCAAGGTCCAACAATTATCAGTGTTGTGTCCTGGGCCCCTAAATGATACTCACATCTTTCATTGGCATGGAAACCTGGAGTAGTTGGATTCAAACAATGTGGTGGGATAGACCTAATCACTCATATCTTTCTTAACTTTTGAAACAAGCTAGAGTATGACTTTCCCAATGGAGTGAATTTCCTTTTTTGTCCCTACTCTTGAGCATAATTTTGCATAGGAAGAGGGTTGTAAGGGACTTGATAGGGTGGTCGCTGTGGGCGAAGGTTTCCTTGAGTTGGGGCCCAAAAATATGGGCGATTGGGAGGATGCA